TGTGTGTGTGTGTGTGTGTGTGTGTGTGTGTGTGTGTGTGTGTGTGTTTAGCAATCTGTTTCTTAAGCCAACCCCTGCCTCAGTTTGTCAGTTCTTGTTTCATTGTCTGGGCCTTTCTTTTCTCTTTATTATTGTTTTTCTCCTTGTTCCCCTCATTCCCTAAAACAGCTGCTCCCATCATCATATCTGGATATCATCATAGGTTATTGTCAAAGTCTCTTGTTCTCCCTGCTACCTTATACCTCATGAGCACTTCCCTGTTTCTCTCTTTCATCTGCACCTCTTGTCTGATAGTCAGGCCATTCTACCTGTGGAGAAATTTCTACTTTGACACATTGAAACCAGCCTAAACCTAACATTTAAACTAAACCACTCATTTCCTCCCAGCTAAATTTCTTTTCCAGTTATCCTTTCACAGACATTACACTCGGAATCAGCACCAGCTGGCTCCTCTCTCCTTAAGACTCAGGGTTAAAAGTAGTCAGCCCCTGGTTCCTGCTGGTCAAACCACGGCTCTCACATCTGGGTCCCTTCCGCTTACTCCACAGCCACCATAAGAAATGGTCACCCTTGTGTTAGGACACGACTCCTTCAAAGGCCCATCTAGTTACCCAGCGCTGGCTTTACCTGTGGGCCATATTACGTTTTTTGTTCCCCGTGGGTCCCTGAGGTAGGGTCTGAGACTGCATTTTTATCAAGTCCACAGGTAAATCATAGGCACAAATGTTCAGAATCCCAGAATAGAGAGTGTGCAGTATGCAGGTTTTCCTAACTGCTGCAGCCGTAATGAGTTAGTCCGTGAGTAATCCAAGACCACAAGCAGGGAGCTGCCACTTTAAAGCCGTGTTTCAAATGCAGATTATCTCACTCATTACATCAGCATAACTTTGCAAAGTGTGCAGCCGAGGAGGGAAGCAAAGGCCCAACCTATGTGGAAAATGCATTATGCCAGGCTTTATTTTAAGCCTTTGAAATGTCATTCTTCCTTCCTCCCCTTGTGGTGCAAGCCTCCATCTCGGTGGCTTTGCGTGTAATCCTTGTGCCAGTTCCTGAAGTTAGAAACACAGCTTACTGATGTTTTCATGTCTTTCGATATGCTTTAGACAAACCACAGTGAAGGATACTGGCGTCACAGTCTCTACGAACATCAGAAATAAGCATAATCCTAACCACAAACTCTCAATAAGACTTTTTAAAATCCTAGCAGCTGATCACTATTAAGCTAATGAGCACCTTTAAACTATAATAACTACCTATATAAAGTTAGATTGCCCTGACACCCATCTTGAAAAGTAGGTATCAATGTCCCTGTTTTACAGATTAGCTTTAAGCAACAGATTTAAACAGCCCAATAAACAGCCCATAGATTCAAGCCTGGATCAGGCAGATAACGAAGTTGTGCTCCTAACCACCGATCATCACTTCCCTTCCTGTTCCCCCATGAGATTCGGTAAGTGGCGTCCTGTTTTCTGTTGGCAGGAAGTATATGTCGGGAAGGAGACAATGTGCACCGTGGATGGCCTTCACTTCAACAGCACATACAATGCTCGGGTTAAGGCCTTCAACAAAACGGGAGTCAGCCCCTACAGCAAGACACTGGTCCTCCAGACATCCGAGGGTAAGGCCCTTCAGCAGTATCCCTCAGAGCGGGAACTACGTGGCGTCTAACGTGGCTGGCAGCCTGGAGGTAACCCCATCAGTGCCACAGCCCTCAAGTTTTTCCATGACTTGCACTGTCTCCGGCCCCAGAGCCGCTGTCCCTCTCCTGCCTTTAGAAGGCCCGTGAGATGTGGATGTAAGGAAACCAGAGGTCCCACATCAGCAGTTCCAATGGCTTCCTTTGCTAACACTCTAAGCTGCAATGGAAGAAGCTGAACATGCGAAAGCCCAAATGTGCCCCTGGTGTCTAAGATGGAGGTTCTTAGGCCCTAGAGCAGGCTCCCTGTCTCCACCAAGCCACTTCAGTGGCCACTTTCACCCCCAAATGATTCTCCATGTCTTTGTAGCTCTGGCTTGCTCCTGGCGGGGCTGGAATGTAGAGTCTTTCCGGCTGTAGCTCTGTGTGACTTGAGCATGTTTCCCGTGGGTGTAGGGTGTTAGAGCCTGTTGACCAGCATCTGGCTTAACCAGCTCGGACTGATTCCTTTCCTGCCCAAAGACCAGGCCATCAGCACGAGGACTGAGATTTCCTGTGGGCACCAAACAGGAAGAGGCCAGCAACTCTGCTTTATCTCGCCATGTGGGTCTTTGCTAGTCCCTCGTGGGGGGGGGGGGGGGGTAGGCACTGTCCTGTAGACATTCTGGTCATCAGAGACGATCTGTCTAGAAGAGGTGTGCACCTGATGACCTGGAATAACTTCTGAGCCATTAATGTCTTTTCTACTTTACAAGCAGCGGGAGCACATGACACTAGACCTAAGAAGGGTATGTGTGACTGGCACCAAAGCATTCTGAGACTTTTGGGTGTTGTTTTAATCATGGAAGTCACCTCCTACCCCACTGGCATTCTCCACAACTAACCTCTGGTGTTGAATGTGTTCAAGTCCAAGACATTAGCTAAAAGAACTGTGGGAGTCTCTCCTACCTTCCACAAGCCTCAGCATGTGGCAGCCACCCCTAAAATGCTCCACATGGTTCAAAACAAGCACAACTGAATCGCACAGTGGAAAAAAAAAAAAAGTGAAGCTTTTCAAGGAAGAGGTTTATTAAGGATGAAACACTCACATGACCTGTCCTCAGAGGTGACAGTGCTGTGGCATCTAGCTCCTTCCCCAGACTTAACATTTTAGCAACTTTCTTCTGGGATGACCTACCAGCTTGAGAGCTGTTGCCACTTTTCCCAAAATAGCGTACTAAAGGCCAAGGGCTTCTATGAGTTCTTTCTAAAATCAATGCAGAGCCCTTGCTGGTGCTGGCCACTTGTCCCCGGTGCACTGATGGTGGTTTGCTGAAGTGGGAGGCTCATGGCAGCAGAGCAGGGAGAAACGGTGGCCCTGTTACTAATATTTGTCAACGGAACTGTATGAAAACTGTTTCTCTTTGAACTAGACTATAGAACTCAGATTATTATACTCAAATCAGGCACTAACAACCTGAGTCCTTCTGTCTGTCCTTTTGTCCTACAGGAAGGTGTCATTTCTTAGTCTCTTTCAATGTTCACGAGATACCGGTGTCTATTATTAGTTACAGGATATGGACCTGCGATCCCCGGTACCACAGTTACAGAATTGGGGGTCATTTTCTAAGTGAAACTAATGGAACACGTTCTCTACGAACAAAGAAACTGTATTGTAGAAACCCATTCCTCCATGAATTTTATATATATTATGTGCAAATATAAGGTATGTATGTGACTATGAGTCAACCCCGATCCCCATGTAGATCTCAGTGTTCTGTGTTATGGCCCACGAGTGATTCGCTCATGATGAAATAAAGTTCACACACATTCTTTCTCCATACTTTGGTTTGTTCTATTTGTTCTCCCTCATTGAAGTAGTGACATGAGATTCAGCAAGTGAGGGGACTCTATCAGTCTGTTACAATAGAGAAAACCCACCTCATTATATCCTTCTTGGTTTTCTAGAAATCAATGAGAAAATGCCATAATAGCTATTTCAGGAATCTGCTGCTCTTGTACTTTATCCCATTGTTTCTACAGTTTCTGGGAAGTTTACTTTAGAGGTTGCTGCTGCTGTTTGTTCTGTTTTGTTGGCTTGGGGTGGCTGGGTGGTTCCTCCTAGCTTTTGGCTGTGATAGAGTCTTTCACATTCTTTGTAGCAAGAATCAACCTCCTTCCAGACTTCAGAACAAAAGGTCTGTACCTCAGAAGGCTTCATTTCATATGTGACAGCAAGTCCGAGTTAATGACATATATGTAGTATGTGGTTTAAGTCACTTGTCATTCCTACTCTGTCACAAACCTTCTGCTGGCCCGGAGGTGACATCACACAGGGGCATCAAGTGTGTGCGTTGTTAGGAATCCTGATCATCACCGCCCCAAAGTCAAGTGTTTCTGTCTGTCTGTCAATCAGAGAGTGTTTGGTAAGTGCCCACAGCAGATAGAAAGTGTGGCGCCCCTGATCCCTTGTTGTGTGGGGCTTAGAGGCTGGTAATGGAGGTGGGTTTTCAAGAGACACACACATAGCTGCAAAAGAAAGAAAATAATGTATACATAAGAAAATTGGTCCAGAAACAATACACAATAATCTTAGCCAAAGGAAAATGCAGTGTTACATAGGTTCAAGCTAGGTTAGGCTACTGAAAGCAGATTTCTGGGATGTGTCCAGGACTGACATATGGGTGAAGCCTGTCCCAGATCTGAACCAAACTCTCCTGACTTAAAAAGAAAGGTAAACACAGGCAACTATGAATTTAATGAAATGGCTCTGACAGGGTAGCTCAACGGAAAAAGGCCCTTGCCCTCTGGTCTGACTCCCTGAATTCAGTCCTCTGGGCCCATATGGAGGAGAGAACCAACTCTGGAAAGTTGTCCTCTGTCCACACAGGCACGTCAGTGCCTCCCCACACCATAAACAAATGATTGAATCATTAAATAAATGAAAGATAAAATATTCGAAGAATTTTAATGAAATATTAAAATAAGGCCCATAGGCTTGGTTGTGTATAGTTGTTTTGTCTTAACTAACTCGTCAGGTAGCTACCTCTGGCTACGTACTGCCTTTGAAGCCATCTGCAAAGGAGTTCTGAAGCCATTACATAATGCAGCCTTCTTAGCACAGTGTGCTCTGAGGCTCATTCTGAGCGTCAGACTGAACCCCACCCAAAACAATCAGGCAAAGCTGAGAGCTGGCGAGAACCTTCCTATCTATTCTCCCATGATTCCCCTCTGCCTGACTGAGAGAGCAGCACCTCCTGTTTGTCTCATGATCTGGGGAGGCCGAGGGGATACTCCTGGGGCCGTGAGCTGGCCCTGAGGAAAGGCTCTCTTGGACTCTGTGAGCTGCCCCTAAAGAGAGGCTCCCTTGGACTCTGCTCTGTTGAGCCTCTCACGGCCAGGGAGCTCTTAGCAGTCACATCTGGCAGTCCCCCAGGGGAGGCATGCTGCCCTGCGATTGTCCCCCAGAGGAAAGTTCAGGGTTAGGACCTCTATCCAAAAGCTGCTCTTTAACTATGGCGTCTGTGTGGAAGGCTCATCTGGACAGGTTCTTGGGTGTAGAAAAGTACTGCTGGGCATTTCTGAGGCCCTTAACTGTGTTCCCAAATTACTTTCCAGATAGACTGTATGTCAGGAAGGTGTAGATATTCCAGAGCGTCATATCATCAAAATTCTACTACCTTAAGGTTTAATTTAAAAAGTAGCAGGTAGTCGCTTCTAAAAATAAATGTGTTTCTAAAAGAATTTGACCTTATGTGTTTATACAATTACTACTGTGATTGTTTCATACCTAATAGCCACATGAAATAAGTTACAACACATTGCAACGGTGTGTGTGTGTGTGTGTGTGTGTGTGTGTGTGTGTGTATGTGTGTATGTGTGTATATGTGTGTATGTGTGTGTGTTGGGGGGGGCTAGTTAAGGAGGACTTCTCAGAAAAGATGTAGATGGTGAGAAGTCCGAGCAGACACAATTGCAATGCATGAGGCAGTAACTGTACTATACTATACTATGCTATTACTATACTATTTATGTCTAGTTGACACCAACAGTACACTTGATCACTCCAGAGCTCTAACTAGCTGAGCATCTCAGTTATGTCGGGTACCAGCTTAGCTCCGTTCACAGGGACAGCACAAGGTACAGCTCTCTCCCTGGAGTTTGGGGGGCCTGGCTGCTCTTCTGCACACATCCTAGCAGCTTGCCCCGATCTGAAGGCGACGCTACACCTCTTTTTAAGCTGACTGTCCTTCAGGTGTGAGTGCCATCTTGAAACGATGAAGTGAGAAGGATGGCCTCTGGTTAGCAGGAGGAAAAGACACAAAGTCTAGGCTCATCGATTCCTAGGTGCCCAGTTTCATTTACTCACTGCTAAGACCCCAGAAGCACCTGAGAGAAAAGGCTAGGAGCCAGTCATGGTGGCACAGACCTGTAATCCCAGTACTTGGAGGGGAAGGTGTGAGAATTAAAGGATAATGATCTTCCTTGGACACAGGGTGAGTTAAGTAAGCCTGTGCCACATGAAATCCTGCCTCAGACACACAAACACACACACGCATGCATATATACATATATGTGTGTGCATACATATGTATGAAAAAGAGATGGGAAATTGTTACGGAAGCCGAGGTTACTGAGGGCATTAAGCAAGGAGAAAGATAACCAGAAGAGCTGAAAAAAAAGGCACACCCCCACCAGATCTTGCCTTCATGAAAATTTAAAAAAACACATGGTGCATTTTGGAAAGGTTTCCATCTTAAGCCTTTAAAAGTCAGTACATCCCCCAAAGCCCCCAGTGGACTCCAGGCATATTTCAGAAGACTTGTAGCATCATACCATGTAGCAAATGGAAACAAAACAAGCCACCCAAAAAACTACCACCTCAGACCTTACCTCATCTGGGCCAAGCCGCTGAGAACTTCCTTTACTGTCCATCAAAAAACTCCGTGAAGAATGACAGTTACGTGAGAGTCAGAAAATATTTGGGGGGGATAGGGAAATAT